TTAATAATACATAAATAACAAGTGGAAAATAAATTAAGATACCTAAAGGAAACTCAATGTCTATAATCAAAACTGTCCAGCTGGAAGATTAGTTAAGATTTTTGGGGTTGCACTCAGCCAGACTGGTTTACTGATAACACATCAGGTTGGCATATTTGTACAAATTCAGAGGGGAAAGAAAAGTCATAGAAACCTGTTGTTCCGGTTTATTAAATGCTTTTGATTTGCACTGTGTGGAGTATAAATACCACAGCTGACACAGACAGCCCCAGTCTCCTGCAACATGATGTCCGGTAAGTTTTATTGAATCTTCATACGCTGGAACCATTTTACGGTTTTATCTATGTATTGTCAGTAGGACTGCTGAGGTTTAAGGATGCTGACCTGTTGACAGTCTTTTCTATTTCCTTTTTGAATAATAGACATGGACATTGTTTTAAAATAAATCGATATACTTTAAAAAGTCCAGATACCACCCAGGCCTAGTTAAAAGGTACCACTTTTTTTCATTGGTGCTATAACAGATATTTAATTTTGTCTCCAGGATTGTGAAGAGGAAGAGGAGCGCAGAGGAACATCAGACCTCATGAATAATGGCCACAGAAGGGACCTCAGGTACACAGCCTTACAGATTTACTGTTAAATTCAAAATGTACTTAAAATGTAATTGACAAAAGCATTAACATGAAAGTGCACCATAGGCAGTTGACAGGTAATAGTAATAGTATTAGATTATATTATTACATTATACATGAATGATATGCAAAATTAAATGAAAACTGTATGCTGTGAACTTTCAAAAAAGTTTGATCCAGGTTTTGCAGCATCAGTCAGATTCAATTTACCATCAAGTAAGTGAACTGGAGGCATGCTCAATTACACAATTAAATATCACTTCAAATAACCAAATCTAATGTTTTTCAAAAGTTGAATAATGGTCTTAGGGATGGGCATTGTTAAGAGTTTAACAGTACTACTACTTTAACGGATACTGCTTATCAATCCGGTACTTTAACAGTACTCTTATCAGGAAAAAAAAACTTATCAATAACAGAACAGAAGAAACTGCTTAATTTTCTCATACTCTGCTTACATTCTTGAGTAGCAAACTTCAACAGCATTGTTTTGAACAAATCACTATTATAGACTGATTTTGCAATGATGGAAATGTAAAACAAATGTAATGTAATACACAATGACTTACTTTTACTTTGAAAGTATTTTCTGAACAACAGTTCAGATGATGCTCTGTTCATTTCAAATTGAATTTAAGAACACAGCCAAAACAGTCAGTTGGCTAATGGTTAATTTTCATCATTAACCCATGTTTGTATATACATACAAAACACACCTGGATTGATGACCTACGAGCTAGGCAGTCAAATACTGCTGTTTCAAAAGACTGCTTGTGTTTCCACTGTTACATGAGAAAGACTTAACCAAACCTTTGAACATTTAGTTCTCTCTGCCATTGTCACTAAGAGCAGGGTATCTGTGTTTGTGTGTGTGTGTGCTGCACGGTGCTCAAGCGTATGACACAGAGCTGCCCCACCTCTCACACACAGGCTCAGAGGCTAGTATTTCACACTTTGTTGTGTTGTTTTTATCTGTTTTGAGAGCACCTTATTATTGGTTGGGCAGTACATCACATTGTGTGTGCAAATAAAAACTCTGTGGCAACAAAACACTACGGAAAAATTAAAGCCACCTGATAGGTGCTCCAGCTGTGCAGCCATCATCAGAAACTATAAGATGATGCTTTTCAGAGAATGATGTCTAATTTCACCAACAGAGTTTCCTCCATTCCTCTTTCCTTTCTATTTCTTCCTAGGGACTTAAAGGGTCAGTTCATCCAAACTACAAAATAAAAATAATCATGTCATCACATGCACACAGAGCACACACACAGACACAGGAGAAAACAGAGCTACTAGCCGTCCATGTGAACTGGATAAAATAGATCTATCGCATCTTATCTCCTGTTAGTGTCAGAGCCTCCGTGTGAGATGCTTTGATCGGTGATTGTGTGCTTTTGAAACTTATTTTGGGGCTGCAGCTTACTCTTTCATCCCCAAGTAGTGTAGCCATGGTGTTTTTGGTTTAACAGCACCAGCTGCCATTTACTGAAGGTTTATTTTTATTTTCGTTTCTCTCCTTCAGGCCTTATAAACCTTCTCTCCAAACTTGGACTGGAGAAATTTTATCCCAGCAAACTCACTCAAATAATTTGCATTCAGTATCTGAAAAGGTGAAATACACAAATTTAATCATGGTCCCATTGATCTGTACAGAGCTTTAACCCATTCATACCGGATAATGTGCAGCGCAACATTGCCCCTCCCGCCGGTTGTTGCGTAGCGCAGCATTGTTGATTCCTTATCATTTTCTTGATATATTTATACATATTTTACATATTTATATGCTGCATGCGTCATGAAAATCAACAATCAACAATGCTGCGCTACGCAGCAACCGGCGGGAGGGGCAATGTTGCGCTGCGCAGCATCCGGTATAAATGGGTTAATACAGGTTCAGGTATGGATGGTAATTACAAGGTCTGTTTAAACAGACAATATACCGGGGCTAATATTTCACATTCTGTTTTGTTGTAATTTTTTCCTCAATTTTGAGGGTATTAATAAAAGATGATTGGTACAACTGTTGACCCTATTATTGGCTAGGCAGTTCATATAGTGCGTGCAAATACAAACTCTGTGGCAAAAACACACTACAGAGATCTCACTGTGGACAACTTTCACTGGAACAACAGTCTAATGTCATTCTAATATCCCCACAGTTTATTTAAACCAATACTTGGAAGTAAATAAAAAATATACATTTTTATATTCTTTTATTTTTAATCCACTTGTCATAAATTATGTTGCTCGAGGTGATTTCATCCTTTGCGGGGTGTCACCTAAAACTAACAAAATTTGCTGAATTTTATTATATGATATACTTGACAATTCATAAATTTTCACCTAAACACCAAAAACACATTGCACACTGAAGAGGACCTTGAGGTCTTGTTCCATTTACTGAAGTTTTATTTTCTTTTCCTTTCTCTCCTTTAGGCCTTTTAAACTTTCTCTCCAAACTTGGACTGGAGAAATTCTATCCCAACAAACTCACTCTTCGGTCTCTCTTGGAGATCAACAAAAACAGCATATCTGATGGAACTGTTCAATCGGTGGATGAAATACCATGGTGCTTTCTCAGAAAACTACTTAAAGTCAATGCTGAATGTAGGAACTGTACACAATTATCAAACAAAGATGGTGATGATGGTGATGGTGATGAGGAGGAGGAAAACAATGATTTGTTTGGCTTTGACAAGTACACTGCAGATGACTCTGAAGAAGAAAATAAGGTTAACCCTCTCGACCTCATAGTTGCACTCTTCCTTTGTGCTGACAGCTTCTTGCAACAGCAAATGGCCCTCAAGATGTCAATGTGCCAGTTTCCTGTCCCACTGCTGTTGCCCCATGGTAAAAAGAATCAGTGTACTCTGATGCTGTGGGCTCTGAGAACCATCGTTAAAGAGTGGTGTTCCCATGATTTATCTGAATCAGAAGGTTTTGTTGAAGAAAACATTGTCCAAGCAAATATACCTTTATATTCCTTTGTAAGACTGAAGAACTGCAGTTTATCCAAGTCCCAGATTATGAATCAGGTTCTCAGCCGTGGCCAACAGAATCACAGTATCTTTATACAAAGAGAAATGGAAGGAGGAGCAATTAAAAGAAAAATAGCCAATGGATTGGTGGAGGTTTGCTGGTACCTTCCTTGTGGCAGAGGAAATCTTGACATTTTTCCAAAGCCAATTGCCTTTGCCAATCTAAGAGGAGACATAAATGAGTCAATCACACAATTCAACTTTCTTTTTCAAGTGTCTACTGCTACATTTGTGTTTCTGGACAGAGTTGAAGAAGCTGAGCACAGGATTCTGACTTCTCTTCAAGATGTGAGATCAAAACTGTTCTTGGTTGTTAACCGCAAGGCAGAGAACGGTAGAGAGGACATGATGTCCGTCAAGACAATGCTGGGTGAATTAGATTTAACAAAGGCCAGTGTTAAAATTAAGGATTCAAGTGAAAATGGAGCAGTGTTCTCACAGAAAGTTTTTGCAACTATCAAGAAATCACTGGCTGACAAAACAGACAGAACGAATATAGAACATATGCTTAGCCAAGCTGTTGAATTTGGTCTGTCTGTGGATGAATGCAGAAGTGAAAACCAAAATAAGGTAACTGATGAGATCTTAAAAGGAATAGACTTGATGAGCATCCGAGACTACAAAAAACAAGAACTTCCTTTGCAGGGAGAGAACTGGAAAAGGCTATCAAAGTTAGAAAAGGAAGAGTGTAGACTGACAAAATCTGGTGACTCAGGCCTTGAAGAGTATAAATCTCAGCTACAGGAAGAAAAACAACAAATCATGATGGAGCAAAGGAAATACAAAATGACCAAAGGAATTGAGACTTTTATTCAGTATCTATCTACAAATGACAAAGAAAAAAGAGATTTTTTTCTAAAGTGGATGAAACTCAAGCTTGATAAACAATCAAGGAACAAACTGTCCAATCTGCGTAATGCATTCAAAGAGGAATGCAAGAAGAAAGATACAAAACTCATTAAAGAGTTAAACCAAGCTTTGCTGGATAGTTCTTTAGGAATAGAGCATTACATGAGAGAGATGGGACTGATCTATGAGTTTTCCTTGCAGTTGCAAAACACTGCAGATGAAATATCTCGTCTCCCTGGTTTGGCAGCTGAAATGTTGTTGGATGGATATCCTTTAGAGCTCTTGGATGGAGATGCATCCAACATCCCAGAGAGGTGGGTGACAGATGTGCTGATGGAGCTTCACAACAAGGTTGGACAGAAGAGCAGACTATTGGTACTGACTGTGTTGGGTGTTCAAAGTACTGGGAAATCAACACTCCTCAACACAATGTTTGGTGTGCAGTTTCCTGTCAGCAGCGGCAGATGCACAAGAGGAGCTTTCATGCTCTTCCTCAAAGTTGGAAGGGATATGCAAAGCGATATGAACTGTGACTTTATAGTTCTCATTGACACAGAGGGTCTAAAGTCGCCTCATATGGCACATTTAGAGGACAGTTATGAGCATGACAACCAGCTGGCAACCTTTGTTACTGGTTTAAGTGATGTCATCATTATTAACATTGCAATGGAAAACTGGAAAGAGATGAAAGATGTCCTGCAAATTGCAACTCATGCATTCTTGAGAATGAAGCAAATTAGTAAAAAGCCAGTTTGTCATTTTGTTCACCAGAATGTTGGTGCAGTTTCAGCTCAAAGCAGGACAATAACTGACAGAAAACATCTCTTGGACCAACTCAATGAAATGACTCAACTTGCAGCTGAAATGGAAAAGCAGTCTGGTATTAAAGCATTCACAGATGTGCTGGAATATGACATAGAAAAGAACAACTGGAACATCCCAGGACTCTGGCATGGAACCCCACCAATGGCATCAGTGAACACAGGTTACAGTGAAGCTGTGGCAAATTTCAAGAAAAATCTTTTGGAGACAGTAAAAAGTGACACAAGAGATGAAGTCTCAAAGATTCCTGAGTTTCTTGAATGGATGAGAAGTCTCTGGAAAGCAGTGAAATATGAGAACTTCATCTTTAGCTTCAGAAACACTCTTGTGGCTCATGCTTATGACAACTTGTGCAAAGAGTTCAATCAGTGGGAATGGGAGTTCAGAAAAGAAATTCTCTCCTGGCAGTCTGGAGCAGATTTGGAAATCTTAAATGCTGACAATGAATCTCAGCTAGAAACCTGGAACAGACTGGTTGAAACAAAAAAATCAGAGGTGTCAGAGAAAATAACTGACCAACAAACAATCATGAAGAAGAAACTCTCTGACTACTACAAAAGGAAAGACAGACACGTTACTCTGATAGAGAAATACAAGGGTGACTTTATCAATAATATTAACAGCCTTGCAAATGAAATTAAACACTCTGTCTGTACTAAACTGGACTGCACCCTTGAACTAAAAATAAGTACAAAGAAGGCTCAGGACATTCAGAGAAAATACAGAGGTGTGATTGAAGAACGAGTCATGAAGCTCCTAGGTGACTGCAAGGAGTCCACACTGTCCGATGAACAGCTGACATGTGAGTTTGAAAAGATGTGGGTTGAAGCCACTGTAAATGTGTCTGGTCTGAAGGAGCGAGATATTGCAGCATGTGTGTGGGAGCAGTTGAGAAAAAATTTCTCAAATCTAAATGTTAATGAGAAATTGCAGAACATTCGAGACCAAGAGGAAATCGGGAGGGGTCAATTCAAAATTAGAAGTGATCATGTAGACTCCTTTAAAAGGAAATGTAAACAGCTGCTTAAACCGACAGATTTGCAGAGTTTTGCCGACAGTGTCATTGAGTCTTGCACACAGTTTATAGATGATAAAGTAAAGACAAATGGAGATTATCATGACTCTTTCACAAAGGATCTTCTAGAAAAAATTGATACATCTCTAAGTCAAAGTAACAACCGTCACAAAACAGCTACACAGTTTGAGATCGACCTGAAACTTCACATCTGTGGCATTGCCTCAAGGAAGTTTCTTCAAATGCACAGGAAATTCTTGTCAGACAATGACCCTCGAACTCAGCTAGAGAAGTACAAGAATCAGTACCTGTCAGATTTCCTAGATTTGTTNAGCTGACATGTGAGTTTGAAAAGATGTGGGTTGAAGCCACTGTAAATGTGTCTGGTCTGAAGGAGCGAGATATTGCAGCATGTGTGTGGGAGCAGTTGAGAAAAAATTTCTCAAATCTAAATGTTAATGAGAAATTGCAGAACATTCGAGACCAAGAGGAAATCGGGAGGGGTCAATTCAAAATTAGAAGTGATCATGTAGACTCCTTTAAAAGGAAATGTAAACAGCTGCTTAAACCGACAGATTTGCAGAGTTTTGCCGACAGTGTCATTGAGTCTTGCACACAGTTTATAGATGATAAAGTTAAGACAAATGGAGATTATCATGACTCTTTCACAAAGGATCTTCTAGAAAAAATTGATACATCTCTAAGTCAAAGTAACAACCGTCACAAAACAACTACACAGTTTGAGATCGACCTGAAACTTCACATCTGTGGCATTGCCTCAAGGAAGTTTCTTCAAATGCACAGGAAATTCTTGTCAGACAATGACCCTCGAACTCAGCTAGAGAAGTACAAGAATCAGTACCTGTCAGATTTCCTAGATTTGTTCAAAGAGACAGATCACTGCAAGCGCAAAGCTACTGATTTTGTAGAGTTTTGTATCAGGCCTGCTGTGGAAGAGTACATCAATAGGTCTCTAGGAGTAGATATTGTGGATGAAATTTTAACAAGTAGTCATTCAGCAGTGTACAGCTCACGTTCATTTTTCCAGTACAGCATTCTGAAAGAGTTGCTGGAAAAGGAAGATTTTGAGAGTTTTGTCAAGTACATTGGTAACTATGAAATATATATTAAGGATTTGATATTTCAACACATTCTGCAAAAAATGTCAAAGGACACTTTGTGCAATCTGAGGAACAAGAATCTGCAGGTTATACTAAAGAAAATAACAGGAGCAATAGAACAGGCCTCAAAAGGAGTAGATAGTGTTCTGCTGCCAGATAACAAGGAAAGCATCACTGAACTCATCAACAACATGCGCAAATATTTGATTAAAGACATCTCATTTTCAGTGGAGGCTGAAAAAACCACTCTGTTTCAAATCCAAAGCACATGCCATCCATTTATCAACAGCCTCAAGATCTCAATAAACGACTTAAAGGAAGAATTTCAGGAGGAATTCTCAAACTCAAACTCTGACGACATCACTGAGACTCTGAAGAAGCTTCCTGTCAAACCACAGGATGAGCTTTTCAAGCGGGTGTTTGGTTGTGGACACCAGTGTCCATTTTGTCAAGTTCCCTGTGAGGCTGGAGGCAAAGAACACAGGAAACATCATGCAGCTATTCATTGGCCACAAGGTCTTGCTAGGTATAGGAATATAAACACCAAGAAGATAGTTACAACACTGTGTACAACTGAAGTGAACAGTAATAGTGAATTCAGTAATGCAGACACTAAATGGAAGTCTCATCCTTACAAGGACTACACCACATACTACCCAGACTGGCACATTCCTCCAGACAACACCATAGAGGCATCTGACTACTGGAAGTATGTCCTGGTGCAATACAATAAAAGATTTGCTCAAGAATTCAAAGCCAAGCCAGCTGATGTTCCAGAGGCCTGGAGGAAAATCACAAAGGAACACGCACTAAACGGTTTGAAAGACGCCTTCAACATAAAGTGAACAATGTACAATCCTGACAAAGCAGCATTTAAACATCCAAGAATTTTTCATATACAAATATAAACCTCAGAGAAGTCCAAAAGAATACAGGAACTGAACGCGAGTGCATTCTGCTGAACAATCAAGCAAATGAAATAAAGATCGACACTGTTAAAAAAATATCTTCAGCCAAATTCACCATGATGAAAAACAACTCAAATCTTTAGAAATCTGTGCTTGAAATGATGAAAATATATATATATTTTCTTTTTTTGATGGATTGTTTGTTGTATTTATTTAATTTTTTTGCTGTTTTGTTTAAGGAATTAACTTAAACTTAAACTTCAAAAAACGATTAAACCAGTTTGTGAGAGTGAAAACTGCAGCCTCCTTTGGTCTGCTGAACATGATGAATTACAAATAAGTTGAAAAGCTGGAAATAGTTGTGTTCGACTTTCAGACATTTTCAGTATTTAGTTTTTATTTTAAGTTCATAGACGTTTGCCTATTTTCAATTGTCTGTAGGCCCTCCAGCATAATGACTGGTGAGCATGACAATCATTGACAACGATAATCATAAAGTAAATGATAATATACTAAAAAGAGCATGTAAAAAAGAGATCATGTTTTTTGTTTTTTGGGGGTTTTTTTTGGCTTGTGTTTTTGTTCAAGCTTCTATAGTGCAACTATTATGATGCTGGCAATAAAAATCTTAATGTTATGTTTCAAGTACCACATGGAAAAGAAACTGATCACGTTTTGTACAATTGCTCTTTTTGTTTTTTTTAAATTACATCTTTCTTCTTTTTTTTCAAGTTGCTATATGAATGTGTATATAATGACTGGTCTGCAACAATTATGACACTGACGATGGAAATGATAGTATTGTGTTTGAAGTACCACATGAAAAACAGAGATTGTGTTTTGTACTATTTCTTTTTTTTATGATTACAACTTTTGTTCTTATTCTTCTTTGTTAATATCTTTTATGGCTAGGTGTGCATGATAATGCTGATAATGAAGATTTACTACAGAGACCATGTGAAAAAAAAGATGTTTTGTAGTGGATATGCCAGATTGTTTTATCTTTCTTGTTTGTTTTATTAGTAAATATGTTTATCAAACTATTGACTATTATGCATAAATGAAAATGATGTAGGCCCATGAAATACAATGACCATCTGATGAGATATTTTGTTATATGTTTTACTATTTACTACTACTTTTTTATTACTTTTTTATTTTATATTTGCCTGTTATTAAATGAGAGTAATTAATGTGTGCTTGCAGAATAAAGTTGAAATGTATACATGTTGATGCACACACTGTGGCATCCAGTGACGTGCGGTGAGGTTCATGGCTGGTGAGGCACTGACTTCATCACTAGCGCCCTCTACCATGAGGCAGGAGAACTGCGTGCCTCACCCAGTGCGTCTTCGCAGCCGTTTTATGATTGCTCAGCACAAGAAACACGTTACACACATACAGTTGTTGATAAAATACACTGTACATTATATACCTCAGCTAACTAAACTATGGAAATTTATAATATAATTCATATAGCAAAAGTGTTTGAACATTTTAATAGCGACATACAGAGAGATAGCAATACGGTCTCACTGCACAGCAGGCCAGCAGTTAGCCGAGTCATTGCGCAATCCATGGTGAGGCTCAGCTGGCTGCTGCCTCACCGCAAGTCTCTTCTTAGTATTTGAACGGTAAATGTCAAAATTCAGCGATTTTGAATAAAAATAATCTAAAACTGGTGAAGTTAAATGGAAAATAACTTTATAGTATAATCACTGTATACATATAACAATTTAATTAATTTTAATTAATTTTTTTTCTTTTTACTTTTTTTTTCCATGCCTCCCCTGACTGCACGTCACTGGTGGCATCCTTTCATGTGTTTCACATGTGATTTTCATTCTTGTAGTGTCTAATAGATAAGAAAGTAAAAAGTTTTGTTATATTTGACCTATTGTTTTTTGTTATTACAAATGTTTGCTTCACATTCTTGCTACACAGCTCTATATATATTGACAAGTACTAAAGACGGTGATGCTGATGCTGCTGCTGCTGATGATGTTGAGGTACACAGGCCATGTCAAACAGAACATTTTTACTGTTTTATTTGTAATAGGTGCATGCAAAACATTTTATCTTGTAATGTGTATTTGATAAATGTCAGTAAATAAGAAATGTATATGTTGCTGTAACTGACTTTGTTGCTCATGTTTAAATATGGTCTTATCAATCCAACAGCAGAGAATTCTGTGACATCTTGGCAACTGATTCTTTCAGACACATGACTTAAACAAGTTACAAAGACGTTGAAAAGCTGGAAACTATATCATGATTGTTAACAATTTCTGCATTTTTCCTTATTTTCTAGTTGATATATTTTACAATGGGCAATTGTTGACAAAAATAATGTGATTTAATATTGGGACTAATATTTAAATCTTCAAATCTTAAAACAACTATAATCAATATATTTATTACAATTCATCAAAGGACATTGTGAAAATACTAAGAGTATGTGAAAGGGGTCTGTGGTAGTGCTGAACCTACAGAGAATCTGTAGAACCTGAAGCTGCAGCTTAACAGAGCTTTATAGTGAGTTTCAGCTTTTTGTTTATCTATCTTGAATTTCTTGTGCCCATCCCTAGTCCAGACACAACTTTACTGTTGTAGTTCATTCTCACAGCTTTCATAGCCTTGTTTTCGGCCACAGCAGGCATCTGCTTTCAGAGAAACTGCTGTAAAAAAACACTTTCTACTATCTGCTCAGCAGACAGTCACAGTTAAAGAGAAGCTGGTGAACATAGTGGAGCATTTAGCCACTAAAGAGCCAGATATTTCCCTCAGATGATGGTAGGAAGATGGTAGGAACCAAAAACAGCTAAAATAAAAGGAATACTGGACTTTAATTCATCAGGTGGACACAAACACCACTCCACATGAATGATAATGTGGCCCTGTAACTGCCCGATATTTAAAAAGTCCATAATTTAACTTAAATGGTGATGATGTCAATGTTGTATTGAAATCTTGGTTCTGTTGCCCCCAAGTGACCAAAAAGGGTCATTCATTGTTGGTTTAAAGAGACCATGTAGAATATGGAAATGTTGTCACCAAACTGCAACTTCAAAACACAATATCAACTTTCAATCTGGTAAGTTCACAAATATTTGTTAAAGCATTTTTTTTCTACAAATGTATTGTAGATAGGAAATTACATTATAAAATACACCACCCTAATACAGTGGAGATGAATGGAACTTATTATTTTTTGTTGCACACACCATTGAATACCATAAAATTACATTTAAAAGAATTCAGCAGTATCAAGTCTTTTCAGAAACAGTTACTCTGGACAATTCACAGAACTGATTCTCAATAGATCTAATTGAAACTATTTTCTACACTTTCTGGAAACACTGCTATTGAAATTTTAAACTGTGATTTTTCAATGCTGTGACCTCCTAAAAATAAATTACATTTGTCTCAGATGAGATGGGGTTGCAGAAATCCCAGAGATGTTTTTCTGCACTTTGGGGTGTATTGGTCCTTTAACAAACTAAGCTTTGACAGCATCAACCAAATACCAGTAGATGCTGTTAATTTGCCTTTGAGGTATGTTACAGTCTAAATCCACTGAAGATTAAAGGTTATCAGGTAAATACAAACTACATCACTACTTTATTGTTTTAAGAGCAAACGGTGAATGAAACAAAGAAGTACAGTGATACAATGATGTGCAGTTCAGCCCTCTACCACCTGAGGTCACAAGTGCCAATTGTACCTTGATCTGAGTCTTCACTCTGCTGCAGTTTTATCCAAAATGGAATATATATATATATATATTTGAGCAACAAATTTCCTATCTCTAAATGTAAAGAATGGAATACTGTTAAATTATTATAAATACAAAACACCACCACAAAATTATAATGTGGTGGGAACTGTAGATACTCTAAGGAGTACTTGCCACCTGACATGTTTTGGGCATTGAAATTAAAAATACAGTAAAAAAAAAAAAAAAAAAAAAAAAAAAAAAATATTTTAATCTATTTGAAATGTAATTGAATAAATGAGACTTGTTCCAGATTAAAGGTTTCTTAAAAATACCTTTTTAGAGCAGATGCAAAAAGTTTTACTTAAAAATTACTTTGGTAGTGGAGAGTAGGTAGAAATTGAACATGCAAAGCACAAGACCAGAGTTCAATTCTTATATGCCAGAGAGATTCAGAGGGATTTGAGATTTAGGCTACTCAAGCACTAAATAGATTGTGTTAATATAAAAAAAAAAAAGTATTTTGAGTCGGCTGAACATAAAATACGTAAACACAAGGTACTCTGGGAAATCAAAACAAGATATTGTAGGAAACAGCAAAATTTCTTTTATAAACTTGTATATCAGGTCAACAAAGCTAAATGCTGATCTGTTTCTGGCTCCTATTTGACTCGTTAATGCAGCATAAAGTTATTAATAGAATAAGAATGAACGCACTGTTACTGCTAAGGATTTCATATGAAGACAACTACATAGAGTATTTCGTAAAGTGCAAACTGCACACTATATTGCTAACAAATATAACATAATAATCAAAAAAGGATATGGAAATCAAATGGCCAAAATAAATTGTGTATTAACTAATCTGCAATAAATGAGAAATAAATAGTCAACCAGCTTGTCTACACAGGAGGCAGGTGTATTTTTTCTTTTTCTTTTTTAGAAAAAGCAAATAATCAATATTTTATGGCTACAGTAATTGGTAATGTCTGCTGCTATTGAAAAGACATGTTCACTGCAAGTGGCAGAAATGGATAAGTATGCTTTGGATAGACACTCCAACACTCCAATGGACTAGAACTTACAAAATTACAGTCATCAACAGATTAATTCAAGAGAATCAGTAAGCAAAGAGGAGGGCAAAGTGCAGCAATAAGTGGTGTGTGAAGGTGCTGTAAAGGTGTTTCATGAGGGTATGTCTTCAACACGTTTTCTTTTATCAGGGGGGTGTGGCATCACCACAGTATGAATGCTGGTGAGATCATCATCTTCCACCAGATCTAAAGAAGCAAATAACGTGAACAGACAGATGCCTTAGCCTCATATAGCCTGATGTCAGGTAAGCCAAAGCTTCATATGCGAAGATCACTTTTGCCCGACTGTGTTGCTGTTTATCACCAGCATGAACAATAACTTCTAGAGTTGATCTGGATGAAAGAAAAGAAGCGACAGGTGTTGTTGTGAAGTTTTGATAAAAAATAATATGTAATAGTTATTTAATTTTGCATCCACTTTATGAAAGAGTGATGAAGTGTGTAGGTTTGGTCATTCATATGAAAGATTGATTTGAATGGATTTAAAGTAGGGCTGGGCGATATGGACCAAAACTCATACTGCAGTATTTTTAGGCCTAATGGCAATACATATTGTAGTATTTTCTACAAAGTGGGTGGCATGGCATGTGACTGATGTGCATGCACAAACATGAGGTTCAGAGAAACAGGAGTGTAAGTCTTGTTATTTTTTTGGAGATACAATTAACAGATGCCTAAGCAGATGCAAATCGGCAGACGCTACATTTTACCAGGTTTGCACACAGACAGAGGGAGAGTAGGAGGGCGGCTGTACAGAGTTTGAGAGAGGAGAGATGCAAATACTGGCACAGCTTAACGGAAGAAACAGGTTATGTTGCAACATCAAACTATATAGATTTAAACTGTATTTTCTCATCTTATATTTTGTTTTAAAAATAAAACGATATACTGCCCAGCCCTAATTTAGAGGTACAACTTTTTTTCATTGGTGGTCAAATAAATATTTAATTCTCTCTCTAGGCTTGTGAAGAGGAGTGCAGAAGAACATCAGACCTCATGAATAATGGCCACAGAAGAGACCTCAGGTACACAGCCTTACAGATTAAAATACATTTTGAATTTAACAGTTAAATATATTTGTCAAAAGTAAAGACTATATCCAAATTAGGGGTGGGCATGATTAATCAATGAGTGATAATTCATAGTTGAGAATTTTGTCATGTGTATCAGCAAGGTTGTGTTGTGTAGTGTGTCTTGAAGCAATGCAATGAATTTCACTATGTGGCAGCAACCAGCCGGGACGCAATTTAAATTTTCAACAGAGAAAAATTAATACTCAGCTGCCGGCACACAAGCTTCTGAAAGTGCCAAGAGCTTGCGATTCTAATATCCAGAGGCAGTGTGTTCCACAGTTAAGGGGTATAAAAAATATAAATAAATAATGCTACTTTTATGGGACAGATAAGGAACATTAAAAAAAAAGGCAATGGAGGACCTTTGTGACCTGGGTCGAACATAAAATGAAAGAAGATCTGAGATATAGGGAGGAGCAAGGTCATTTAAAGCTGTATGAACACAACTTAAAAATCAATTCTAAAAGATACAGGTAGCCATGAGGTAATGTGATTTTCTTTGTCTTTGTTAAGACTCTGGCCATTACATTTTGAACTAGCTGCTTATAAACTTTTGAGGTAAACAGGGAGTTGCAATTCAATGCATGAATGAGCATTTCAGTATCATGAGTTAAAAAAAAGTTCAGACTTTAGATAGTAGGTAGGTAGGTAGGTAGGTATGTAGGTATGTAGATACTTTATTTATCCCCTAGGGGAAATTCATGAGGTTAAATTAAATGAAACTAAAATGAAAAACGGATAAATTGCCCCAAAATTTATAGGTTGACACACACAAGAAGATGACTGAGTTTTAAGCTGAGTTCTCTCAAACACTTGGTGGATAAAGGGAAGCGCTGCTTGCCTGAAATGACCTTTTGTCCTTTGCCTGTTGTCAGTTACTTTCTCCACTGCATTTTAAAGTATATATTTTTGGGGCTTTTGTGCCTTTATTGGACAGGATAGTAAAGAGAGACAGGAAATGGGGAGGCAGAGAGAGGGGGAATGACATGCAGTATAGGGCTGTCCGATACGGGATTCGAACTGGGGCCTGCTGCAGCGAGGACTGTAGCCTGTACATATGGGGCGCCTGCTCAAACTAATGTAACACTCGACGCCCCCTCCACTGCATTTTAAGGCTTTTTTTTTTTTGTATTTAGTTGTATAGATTAGTATAGATTTTCTCTTGCTGCTTTTGGTCCTATTAAAAAGAAAAAATATTTTTCTTAATTTAATTTTAAAAAGTTGTTACCCATCCATGTATTAATGTCAGTGAGACAAGAAATGAGAGAAAGCAGTGCACTGGAGTCTTTTGGATAAACTGAGATGTACATCGTCAGCATAAAATGGTAATTGACATGGTGATGGGTGAATGTATAATGAAAACAAAATTAGACGGAGAATGCTTGCTTGTGAAATAACATGTTCAATACTATGGGTGTACATGCTGCACAAGATTGAGACAGGCTAGAAGATGCAGGAAGTTGAAAGCCCTTGAGTCAGTTCGGTCATTAACATGAAAATGAATCATCAACTAAAATTATCTTATCATGACTGGTAAGTACAATGGACATAAAATCATAAAACTCAGTTAAAAAGTTACTATGCTTGGGAGGCCGATAGTCAGTCACAAGTTGTTGTGCTTTGATAACCATTATTAAGTATTTAAATGTTAGAAAATTGCCAAAAGAACAGTGAATGCAGGTGAAGCTGGAGAAAATGGTGACTACTCCACCCCTTCTTTTATTTGTTTACTGGAATATAAAAGGGTGGAATTATGAGGGAAAGACTCAACATGGCTGAAAAGGTTAAAGCCAGGCTTAAGACAAAAACAAAAAGTTAAAACTATTTTCATTATATATGAAATATTTTGCTGGAGAAGTTTCCAATATTGAAGAGTGAGAGCCTTATCGGCTCTGGTTTAGGGCTCATTGGGACTGACTGTTTTTCAAATTTCACCAGTTGCATGAGTTTCTGCCATAATGTGGATTGGAAACTCTGCTCCGTAATCATGGTCTGAATGGGAAAAAAATTCCCGTGGGAGAGAGGGAACCATAGTCTTGCTGAGATAGTTGATTTGAATAGCAGTTTAATAAAAGTAAGACAAGTTTGAGCTTTTTTTGTTTCATTACTCAACTATTTATTGCACTTTTGACTTGGAAAAAATTCCATCAATGTCTTCCTAGATACATTGTCTGAACACTTGCATCATATCACCTGTTTTTAAAGTTTATCATTAGAGCCCGACCGATATTGGATTTTTGGGGCCGATACCAATACGGATATTAGGGAGTGAAAAAATTCTGATATCAATACACAACTCGGTACACACACACACACATATATATATATATATATATATATATACTGTATGTACACATATATATAAGCACTTGTGTATGTAATGAAAGCAGAATATTTTGCAGCTTAACAATAAACTTTATTGTCCAAAATGACATCGGTGCACGGAAACGATAAACTTTACTGGGAATTACATAAAATAACTATAAAAACAAATAACTGTAAATAATAAACATAAGAACAAATATGTACATATATTGTATATATATATATTTCACTTGAATGAAAACAAAAGATCAAACATACACAGCATAAGATGCTGCCTACATTACATGTCTTGACCGGAGCATTTCCACCATTTCTGTCACGGTCTGATGAGGCAGGGGTGAGGGTGAGAGACTCAGATGCGGAGGAGGAACCAGTGTGAAAGAATTTATTCAAACAAAAAAACCAAAGTGCATACATGAGCAGATGCCGCCGATGACCCAGACCCCAAACCTCATAACCAACAATGATCCCACAAAGACAACACAGAGCAAGGGCTTTTTAAAGGAACGGAACTGATTAACGATGGAGAACAGGTGGGGAAGCAGACACAGGTGGGACACATCAGGGATGATTAACCAAAGGAAGCAAAACTAGATCTCAGACACTAGGCCGACACGACTATCAAAATAAAACAGGAAGTGCACGGGGAAACAGAGCACAAGACAGGGAAGACTACACTAGACACTAGAAATACCCAAACCACTAATACTCAGACCACAAATACTCAAAACCCAGAACAGAAACCCAAAACACAGAAAACTAAATCAAGAAAGTCCAAAAAAAGTCCAAAAAACCAAAACCCTGGAGCCTCCAGGCTAAGACCATGACAATTTGCATTATTGCCGCTGAATTCATATTCAATTCATATCAGCGCATTTAAGAGACTATATGCACTGATACCAATATATCTGTTGTAGGCCAATATCACCCAAAATAATTGGCCGGCATTGCCGATATATCGATCAGGCGCTATGTATCATACCAGCCCCCTCTCTATAACAACCACAACTATACACTTAATTTCTGAGTTGGTCAGACAGCACGTGTCTTACAAAGTCTGACTGTCCATTAACAGACCCTCAAATAATTTGCATTCAGTGTCTGAAAAGGTGAAATCATGGTTCATGGTTCCATTGATCTGTACAGAGCCTTAACACAGGTTCAGGTATGGATGGTAATTACAAGGTCTGTTTAAACAGACAATATACCAGGGCTAATATTTCACATTCTGTTTTGTTGTATTGTTTTCCTCAATTTTGAGGGTATCAATAAAAGATGAATAGCACAACTGTTGACCCTATTATTGGCTGGGCAGTTCATATAGTGCGTGCAAATACAAACTCTGTGGCAAAAAACAAGCTACAGAGATCTCACTGTGGACAACTTTCACTGGAACAACAGTCTAATGTCATTCTAATAGTCCCACAGTTTATTTAAACCAATACTTGGAAGTAAATAAAAAATATACATTTTTATATTCTTTTATTTTTAATCCACTTGTCATAAATTATGTTGCTCGAGGTGATTTCATCCTTTGCGGGGTGTCACCTAAAACTAACAAAATTTGCTGAATTTTATTATATGATATACTTGACAATTCATAAATTTTCACCTAAACACCAAAAACACATGGCACACTGAAGAGGACCTTGAGGTCTTGTTCCATTTACTGAAGTTTTATTTTCTTTTCCTTTCTCTCCTTTAGGCCTTTTAAACTTTCTCTCCAAACTTGGACTGGAGAAATTCTATCCCAACAAACTCACTCTTCGGTCTCTCTTGGAGATCAACAAAAACAGCATATCTGATGGAACTGTTCAATCGGTGGATGAAATACCATGGTGCTTTCTCAGAAAACTACTTAAAGTCAATGCTGAATGTAGGAACTGTGCACAATTACCAAAAAAAGATGGTGATGATAAGGAGGAGGAGGAGGAGGAGGAGGAGGAAAACAATGATCTGCTTGACTTTGACAAGTACACTGGAGATGAAGAAAATAAGGTTAACCCTCTTGACCTCATAGTTGCACTCTTCCTTTGTGCTGACAGCTTCTTGCAACAGGAAATGGCCCTCAAGATGTCAATGTGCCAGTTTCCTGTCCCACTGCTGATGCCCCATGGTAATAAGAATCAGTGTACTCTGATGTTGTGGGCTCTGAGAGAGATCGTCAAAGAGTGGCGGCCACATGATTTGTCTGAATCAAAAGGGTTTGTTGAAGACAACATTGTCCAAGCAGATATACCGTTCTATTCCTTTGTAAGACTGAAGAACTGCAGTTTATCCAAGTCCCAGGTCTTAAATCATGTTCTCAGCCTTGGCCAGTACAACAACAATATATTCACACACAGAGATATGAAAGGAGGAGCACCTGAAAGGAAAATTGCAAATGGACTGGTGGAGGTTTCTTGGTACCTTCCTAGTGGCACAGAAAATATTGACATATTTCCAAAACCAATTGCCTTTGCCAATCTGAGAGGAGACATTGGTCAATCGCTTCCACAGTTCAGTTTTCTTTTTCAAGTGTCTACTGCTACATTTGTGTTTCTGGACAGAGTTGAAGAAGCTGAGCACAGGATTCTGACTTCTCTTCAAGATGTGAGATCAAAACTGTTCTTGGTTGTTAACCGCAAGGCAGAGAACGGTAGAGAGGACATGATGTCCGTCAAGACAATGCTGGGTGAATTAGATTTACCAAAGGCCAGTGTCAAAATCAAGGATTCAAGGGTTAATGTTGCAAGATTTTCAGAGAAACTTTGTACAGCCATCAAGAAATCAACAACAGTTTTAACAAACACAAAAACCATTGAAAATATGGTTGACAAAGTTGTTGACCTTGGTTTCTCTGTGGATGAGAGCAATTGTGACGACCAAAAGAAAGCTGCTATGGGGATCATGAAAGGAATTGGGGTGCGGAGTATATCAGACTACAGGAGCAAACAGCTTCCTTTGCAAGGTATTAACTGGAAAAGGTTATCACAATTAGAAATGGAAGAATGTAGGCTAAAACAAGCTGGTCATCAAGAACTGGAAGAATATAAATCTCATCTACAGGAAGAGAAACAGCAGATTAAGGAAAAGCTTGGCAAACACAAACTGTCCAGAGATATGAAGACTTTCATTCAACACTTATCCGAAAGTGACAAAGAAAAAAGAGATCTTTTTCTGAAGTGGATGAAGCTTAAGCTTAATAAACGTTCGCGGTCTGTCATTCAACTATCTTTAATGCGTAATAAATTGACAGAGCACTGCAACAAAAAGGATAAGGATGTGCAAATCACTTCGGAGTTAGACCAAGCTTTGCTGGACAGTTCTTTAGGAATAGAGCATTACATGAGAGAGATGGGACTGATCTATGAGGTTTCCTTGCAAGATACTGCAGATGAAATATCTCGTCTCCCTGGTTTGGCTGCTGAAATGTTGTTGGATGGATATCCTTTAGAGCTCTTGGATGGAGATGCTTCCAACATCCCAGAGAGGTGGGTGACAGATGTGCTGACTGAGCTTCACAACAAGGTCGGACAGAAGAGCAGACTGTTGGTACTGACTGTGTTGGGTGTTCAAAGTACTGGGAAATCAACACTCCTCAACACAATGTTTGGTGTGCAGTTTCCTGTCAGCAGCGGCAGATGCACAAGAGGAGCTTTTATGCTCTTCCTCAAAGTTGGAGAGGATATGCAAAGCGATATGAACTGTGACTTTATAGTTCTCATTGACACAGAGGGTCTAAAGTCGCCTCATTTGGCACAATTAGAGGACAGTTATGAGCATGACAACCAGCTGGCAACCTTTGTCATTGGTTTAAGTGATGTCACCATTATCAACATTGCAATGGAAAACTCGACCGAGATGAAAGATGTCCTGCAAATTGCAACTCACGCATTCTTGAGAATGAAGCAAATTGGTAAAAAGCCAGTTTGTCATTTTGTTCACCAAAATGTTGGTGGAGTTTCAGCTCATACAAAAACCATGACTGAAAGAAAACATCTCTTAGACCAACTCAATGAAATGACTCAACTTGCAGCTGAAATGGAAAAGCAGCCTGGTATTAAAGCATTCACAAATGTGCTGGAATATGACATAGATAAAAACAACTGGAACATCCCAGGACTCTGGCATGGAACCCCACCAATGGCATCAGTGAACACAGGTTACAGTGAAGCTGTGGCAAATTTCAAGAAAAATCTTTTGGAGACAGTAAAAAGTGACACAAGAGATGAATTCTCAAAGATTCCTGAGTTTCTTGAATGGATGAGAAGTCTCTGGAAAGCAGTGAAATATGAGAACTTCATCTTTAGCTTCAGAAACACTCTTGTGGCTCATGCTTATGACAACTTGTGCAAAGAGTTCAATCAGTGGGAATGGGATTTCAGAAAAGAGATTCTCTCCTGGCAGACAGAAGCAGAGTTGGAAATCTTGAATGCTGACAATGAATCTCAGCTAGAAACCTGGAACAGACTGGTTGAAACAAGAAAATCTGAGGTGTCAAAGAAAATAAAAGACCAACAAACAATCATGAAGGAGAAACTCTCTGACTACTACAAAAGAAAAGACAGACACGTAAATCTGATAGAGAAATACAGGATTGACTTTTTCACCAGTACCAGCAGCCTTGCAAATGAAATCCGACATTCAGTAAACAATAAACTGGACTGTGCACTTGAGCTGAGAAAAAGTTCAAAAGAGGCTCAGGATATTCAGAGAAGATACAGAGGTGTGATTGAAGAGCACGTCATGAAGCTTCTGGATGACTGCAAAGAGTCCACACTGTCTGATGAACAGCTGATGCATGAGTTTGAAATGATGTGGGCAGAGGTCACTGTAAACGTGAATGGCCTGAAAGAACAAAATATACCTGCATGCATTGTTGACCAGTTGAGAAAACATTTCTTAAATCGAAATGTCAATGAGGAACTGCAGAAGATTGGAAACCTAAGCAAAATTGCAGAGGTTCCATTTGAGACTAAAACTGAACATATTAAAACAAAAATAAAATTCCTTCCGTTCATCAGAAAAGAAAAAAAGAGACAATTGCAGAGAATTGCAGACGAAGTCATTGAGCCATGCACAAGGATTGTACTTGATACTACAAAAACAGACAGGGATTACAATGATTGTTACATAAAGGATCTTCTAGAAAAAATAGATGACTCCCTTAAACAATACCACAACCATTACAAGCTCAAGTTTGAGATAGACCTGAAACTTTACATTTGTGGCATTGCCTCAAAAGAGTTCCTTCACATGCACAGGAAATTCTTGTTACAAAGGGATCCCAAAATTCAGCTGGAGAAGCACAAAACTCAGTACCTGCCAGATTTTATGGATTTATACAAACAGCAAGATCATTGCCAACGCAAAGCATCTGATTTTGTTAAGGTGTGTATCAAACCTGCTGTGGAAGAGTACATCAGTAGGTGTCTGGGAATAAACATTGTGGATGAAATTTTAACAAGTAGTCATTCAGCAGAGTACAGCTCACGTTCATTTTTCCAGTACAACATTCTGAAAGAGTTGCTGCAAAAGGAAGATTTTGAGAGTTTTGTCAAGTGCATTTGTAACTATGAAATATATGTTAAGGATTGGATATTTCAACACATTCTGCAAAAGGTGTCAGAGGATGACACTTTGTGCAAACTGAAGAACAACAATCTGCAGGTCATAGTCGACAAAATAAAACAAGCAATACAGCAAGCCTCAAAAGAAGAAGGTGGTGTTCTGCTGCCAGATAACAAGGAAAGCATCACTGAACTCATCAACAACATGCGCAAATATTTGATTAAAGACATCTCAATTTCAGTGGAGGCTGAAAAAACCACTCTGTTTCAAATCCAAAGCACATGCCATCCATTTATCAACAGCCTCAAGATCTCTATAGAAGACTTAAAAGACCAGCTTCGTAAGGAATTCTCAAATTCTGGCAACATCACTGAGACTCTGAAGAAGCTTCCTGTCAAACCACAGGATGAGCTTTTCAAGCAGGTGTTTGGTTGTGGACACCAGTGTCCATTTTGTAAAGTTCCCTGTGAGGCTGGAGGCAAAGAACACAGGCAACATCATGCAGCTGTGCATCGGCCACAAGGTCTTGGAGAGTATAGGAATATAGACACCAAGAAGCTTGTTGCAACACTGTGTACAAGTGATGTGCACAGTGAACATAGATTCAAAAACACAGACACCAACTGGGAGCCTCATCCTTACAAGGACTACATGACATACTACCCAGACTGGCACATTCCTCCAGACCCCACCATAGAGGCATCTGACTACTGGAAGTATGTCCTGGTGCAATACAATGACAGATTTGCTCAAAAATATGAAGCCAAGCCAGCTGATGTTCCAGAGGCCTGGAGGAAAATCACAAAGGAACAAGCACTGAACGGTTTGAAAGATGCTTTCAACATAAAGTGAACAATGCACAATCCTGACAAAACAGCATTTAAACATCCAAGAATTTTTCATATACAAATATAAACCTCGGAGAAGACCAAAAGAATACAGGAACTGAATGCGATAGTGCATTCTGCTGAACAATCAAGCAAATGAAATAAAGATCGACAATGTTAAAAAAATATTATTAGTTCACCATGATGAAGAACAACTCAAATCTTTAGAAATCAGTGTATGAAATGATTGTTTTTTTTGTTTTCTTTTTTTGTTTGTTTGTTTTTTTTTATTATTATTATTTACTGTTTTGTTTATGGAACTAACTTTGTGGTTCAATTACAAGAAAGGACTAAAACAGCTTGCAACAGCGAAAATTGCAGCCTCCTTTAGTCTGCTGAACATGATGAATTACAAATGATGAGTTGAAAAGCTGGAAATAGTTGTGTTCGACATTTTTCAATTGTCTGGAGTCCCTCCAGCATAATGACTGGTGAGCGTGATAATCACATTGACAATGATAATCATAAAGTAAATCATAATATACTAAAAAGATCATGTAAAAAAGAGATCATATTTTGTTTAGTTTTTTTTCTTTTTACAATCTTTTTACAATTACAACTTTCTTTTTTTTTTTTTTTCAAGTTGCTATATGACTGTGTTTATAATGACTGGTGTGCAACAATTATGACACTGACAATGAAAATTCTATTATTGTGTTTCAAGTACCACATGAAAAAAAGAGAAGGTGTTTTGTACTATTTCTCTTTTATTTTTTATGATTACAACTTTTGTTCTTATTCTTCTTTGTTAATATCTTTTATGGCTAGGTGTGCATGATAATGCTGATAATGAAGATTTACTACAGAGACCATGTGAAAAAAAAGATGTTTTGTAGTGGATATGCCAGATTGTTTTATCTTTCTTGTTTTTTTATTCTTTTAAGTAAATATGTTTATCAAACTATTGACTATTGTGCGTAAATGAAAATGATGTAGGCCCATGAAATGCAATGACCGTCTGATGAGATATTTTGTAATATGTTTTACTATTTACTGCTTTACTACTATTTTTTTATTACTTTTTTATCTTATATTTGCCTGTTATTAAATGAGAGTAATTATTGTGTGCTTGCAGAGTAAAGTTGAAATGTATACATGTTGATGCACACACTGTGGCATCCTTTCACGTGTTGTTAATGATAAACATGTGATTTTCATTCTTTTAGACAGACCATGTGTCTAATAGATAAGAAAGTAAAAAGTTTTGTTATATTTGACCTATTGTTTTTTTGTTCTTACAAAATTTTTGATACACATTCTTGCTACACAGTTCTGTATATACTGATAAGTACTAAAGACGGTGATGCTGCTGATGATTATAATGTTGAGGTACACAGGCCATGTCAGACAGAACATTTTTACTGTTTTATTTGTAATTGGTACATGCAAAACATTTTATCTTGTAATGTGTATTTGATAAACGTCAGTGAATAAGGAATGTATATGTTGCTGTAACTGACTTTTTTGCTCATGTGGACTAATTAATCCAACAGCAGGGAATACTGTGACATCTGACTGACAACTAATTTTTTCAGACTGATGAATTAAACAAGTTACAAAGACACTGAAAAGCTGTTCTTAACAATTTCTGTTTGACTTTTGCAGATTTTTTCCCTATTTTCTAGATGATATATATTACAGCGATGTGCATAATGATGAGTGGTGATTATGATGTTGACAAAAATCATGTGAAAAAATATTTTGTGACATTTTCAAATGACAATGTGAAATTTGACCTATACGCAAAATAATAACAACAATAAAACCTTCTGTTATAAAGACAAACTTCCAAAGACTAATATTATCACTCATTTATACCCATGATGCAACCATAGGGCTGCAAGTTCATTTATATTGGAATGTGCAAAAATAATTTTACTGTGTTGGAAGATTTCTTCGATTGTTTTAAGATTTTTAGGGTCCAATAATGACATCATAAGATAAGATGTAAGATGTATCAAATACTTTATGGTACAAAAACTGCAGTAACACATCCATTTGTGGAAAAAGCCACAAGGTGGCACTCAAAGCACATGAAGTCTCCACTGATTAGAAGCCCAGAGGGACAAAATGCTTTCCAAAGGGAACTCAAATGCAGGTATAAAAGAGCAGAGTAATTCAACAAGAAAATTAAACATATCTGACTAGTTTATAAGTTTAAAACAAGGCTGCATGCTAAGACATGATAAAAGGACGCTCAGCAGGACCACAGATAAAATGCAGATTAATGAATGATGACGCATGTTATTCAGAAGAACGTCGTATAGTTTAATACTTTATGTTCAATAGAGAATTGGTGAAGAAGAGGAACGAGTTGGTTCAGCTCTCTGGTTTTCTAGAAAACTATCATTAACAGCTAAGGAAAGAATTTAGCTGGAACAGTATATGCTGTGTTTTGGACTGCAAATGGTCTGAATGTATACAGCACATTTATCCAAAGCAGCTCTACATTTGCATCTCATTCACCCATTTCCATAGACTCACACTCTAATGGCAGAAATGTATCATGCAAGATGCCAGGTCTGATGATCAGGGTTTGGAGTTCAGGGTTGGACATGTGGGAGACACCTGCCTCCAGTTTTACGGCTAAAGGGCAATTGCCAAAAATTACCCGCCTTAGAGAGGTGATCTGCTTCAGCAAAAATAGATGTAGCGCGTAAAGATGGTGGAGTCGGGAAAATAGCTGCTAGTGAGACGCCCCGGACACAAACCAGCTCAAACGGTAGCAGATTATCTCCAGTACCCATGACGGGACGAAGTCAACATTAGGGTTTCTTGTCTTGTTGCACTTTTGATTATCAGAGAAGTAAACTGGGTTTAGCACAAATGTAAATGATATCATACAACATTTTGCACCCACAATAATTAACTATCGCCTAATAATCTACTGCTGTATCAATAACCTGCCAAACATATCAGCATATACTAAAATTATGATGGGAATGTGTCGTACCACAATTCACATGTATAAAACTGCTGGTAATGAGAACAGGCAACTTTTATGTGCAGATGATTTCATGGCCGTCATCTGTCCTCAGTACTTTGTGTGTGTGTTTGTGTGTCTGCCTTTGTTTGTTTGTTGCTGCAATAAAACAGTGCTGTGGAAAACTAGCTGAGCCGATCTGTTAATCATCAGCACAAACACACACAGATACAAACATGCACACATAACTTGTAGAGTGGAATGCTGGAGATTTGGAATAAGGACAGGGTGGCGGCAAGAGCCACTCCTCCTGGTTTTTATCTGTTACAAACAGTGGGAGGAGCCTGGTTTCAGTGTCACGGTGACATCACTGTTTAGAGAGAGAGAGGCAGTGGTGGAACAAGTACTCCAACCTTTTATTAATGTATAATGGTGGAGGAGTGAAAGTAAAATGCTGATGTTCAAAACTTTTCTTCATTGTAATTAATGTGGCGGTAAATGAGCAGAATGTATGAAAAGCAAACCTGCTGAGAATTGGGAGAATTTCATGGGGGAAAGTAAAAAACAAAAATGTTAGCAATAAAAGAAAAAGATGGTTTCTGCAATCTATTTAGCTCTCACCTTTCTCTGACAGTAAAGTCTAAATGTGCAAAGCAGATTCAGCACTAAAGATAAATCCAACGGAGCAAAAAGTAAAATATTTCCTCTGAGGTGACAGAGGAAGAAAGCCTGTGAAACTGTTAAAGTAGTCTTAGAATGCGCATGTTTGGCAAATATCATATATGTATAAGGAGTAACTTGTAATGTTATTGTGGCTGAAGGTAGCGTGTGTAAGCTAATCTTAAACTGTAAAACCAATGTAAAACATATTCCAACATAGTGTTTTATATTGGTTCGGCAGAACATGAACAGACCTCAGAACAGCTTCTCCCTTAGACTGTGAATCTGCTACATGTAAACTGTCACACACGAAGACTGATGATGAGTTGAGCTCCTGGACTTTTTCTGTGCAAGTTGTGTGTGCGTGTGTGTTTGACTTTGTTGCTGTGATTAAAGTAAAAGCAAAACTAGCTGGACAGAGTGGTTTACCATCAGCACCAAATGCACAAACACACACCCAAACACACACTCCATTGATCAAGTGTGGTCCTCTATTTCTATGCATTCGAAAAAAATCATTTTTTAATAAAAAAAATGTTTAATTTAAGGACTGTTTTCCAACCATAAGTCTTCTTTTTTTTTCAAAATTGATGATAGGTGACTTGTCTGCCCGTCAAAGAGGAGACCTCCATAAACCTGCAGTGGGACTGTCTGTGGTGAACTGAAACGTGACATGAATAAAGGACTTACTTAATGGCTTTCAAAAAAAAAAGATCAAATAAATTAATATAAGCTGATTTAAGTAAATATTGAAATGCTGGTCATAAACAAAAAAGAAAATCAAACTTTACACTGTAAAAACAAAAAGCAACACAAAGTATTTTACAAACCAACCAAAAGGAAAGGTAACAGTTACCATGCTGGATCTGGCCTCTCTGCCACATCCACATGATTAATTCTACAATGATAGAGAGATTTCAGTCAACATTTTGTTGATTTGAAACAAGCTGACATTTTGTCTCATCTGCATATAAAACACAAAGAGAAGAACTTGTACTATGCATGGGCTGTAATAAAGAAAGTGGAACTTGAAATAGAAAGCATCAAAGAAGCTAAATAAACTGAGCTGAATGAGTTTATGGTCTACAACCCAGCATATGGTCACGTGGCGGGCTGACCACAGTTTGCTACTTTCGTTAGACGTGACATCCGGCAAATCATTTGACAGGTCGAAATAGAGTATAAAACATACAGCTTTAGGAAGGTACTAATTTTTCCATTTTCCATTTTTAGTTTTAGGGGAGAATCTGGATTTTGATTTAATGAATAATATATTTTAATTTATATTCTACAATTACAGTGATGTTGCTAGGTACGCGTCCTGCGTCCCTGACGCATTAAAATCTGAAAGGACGCAGTAAACTCACTATCCATGCGTCCCAGGGACGCAACTCATTTTTCTCATGAAAAACGAAACATTGTGAACAACAACTCGTGTTTAAAATCACAGTAACTAGCAAAAGTAACTTCGCATCTCCTCCGCGCAGACGTGATCCCCTGTGTACAGTATCGCAACATTCTAGTTTAGCCACTACCACAACAATTAGCCAGTCACCGCGGATTTCATTTCAACAATTAAAGATACAAACTTCATAGTAGTAAATAAACTCATGTTTCCACTGCTCGATGCTGTGTTCACTCATGTCGACAATGTTTTAACGTCTAGGGGACGTTCTGTAATGAAATAAATAAAACATACTCTGGTGGCGGTGATGAAAAATACTTATCTTAACATATCTGCATCACTTTATTTTTCTCAACAGACTTTCCACTGTGTTAGTTAAGTTTCATTTGTGTGCTAAAAGTTTCACAGTGATTGACTCAGTTCATTTGATTTAGTTGATGTTCAGACAAGAAGATTTTGTCTTATTTTGGTGACAATTTATTTGTTGACTCTATCATGGTGATGAGAATGTTTTGTTTATTTGTTAAAATCAGCACTTTTATTGAAAATTTATTTTGGTACTACAGACACCATTTTGTTTTCATTCGAATTTTAGTATTTGGTGCTATTTATATTGCTACAAAAATGCTATTTTATTTGAATTTTGTATGTAATGCCGCTGTGACAGTTGTTTTGCAACTTTTCAGATTTGGAATCTTATTTGTTTAATTTCAGATACATTTTGAACATACATGAATATATCCGTTAATTATAACCATATCATCCCACCATCAAAGGAGTTTAACCCTACAATTTAAGAAATAGAAGAATATAAGAAATAAAAAAAATTTATTTGGGCCCCATTGAATTTCCCAGGGACCCACTCAAATCACCACCTGTGGGTCCCGGGGACTCACTACATTGAAAACCTATCAACATCACTGAATTATATATATTTTTTCTAATTAAGGGTATTCACATTTTGTTGTGTTATTCAATGTCATTATTGTGGCCTGTTTGGATTGAAGGGGTGCTGAGTTTGAATTTTATTCATCCTGCAGTTCATACATGCATACATGACATTGTAGGTGACAAACCTTTTCCTTTGAATCCTGCTTGTTGTTTGTTTGTGTAAATTAAACATATCTGACTAGTTTTATAAGTTTAAAACAAGGCTGCATGCTAAGACATGATAAAAGGACGCTCAGCAGGACCACAGATAAAATGCAGATTAATGAATGATGACGCATGTTATTCAGAAGAACGTCGTATAGTTTAATACTTTATGTTCAATAGAGAATTGGTGAAGAAAGAAGGCGAACGAGTTGGTTCAGCTCTCTGGTTTTCTAGAAAACTATCATTAACAGCTAAGGAAAGAATTTAGCTGGAACAGTATATGCTGTGTTTTGGACTGCAAATGGTCTGAATGTATACAGCACATTTATCCAAAGCAGCTTACATTTGCATCTCATTCACCCATTTCCATAGACTCACACTCTAATGGCAGAAATGTATCATGCAAGATGCCAGGTTGTATGATCAGGTTTGGAGTTCAGGGTTGGACATGTGGGAGACACCTGCTCCAGTTTTACGGCATAAAGGGCAATTGCCAAAAATTACCCGCCTTAGAGAGGTGATCTGCTTCAGCAAAAATGATGTAGCGCGTAAAAGATGGTGGAGTCGGGAAATAGCTGCTAGTGAGACGCCCCGGACACAAAACCAGCTCAAACGGTAGCAGATTATCTCCAGTACCCATGACGGGACGAAGTCAACATT